CGCTGGATCTAACTAACGCCTTTATCCACTATGCCATGTGTCCTCAGTGACCGGACCCAAAGACTGTGAATTCAATACCTGCTGAAGGCGTTGGAAAACTTGGAGAGGGGAATTAACAGGTGATAACTGACTTCCATTAGACACGGCACGTGGAACTAGAACAGTCAACACCAGCGAGCGAAATAAAGGGTTCAGTTCGACATTCCAACCATCTGAGAAGGCCGGACCGTACACGGCCGAAACGTTATGATAAATAGGGCAACAAAGAGGGGGGATGATAGTCCGTGCAATGTAAATAGTGTACATAATACCTCATCTCAAAAATATAGACAGATCATTTCTCTTATTTTGAAACTACTGATCTCTCTATCATTTTATGTAATCGTCCCATATGATCCAGCTATATTACCCGTCAGTTTAGTCTTGAATAAATTGGAACATATATTCAAGTTGATTTTATTTCATAGTCCGTCTATTGATATACATTTTTCAACTACCTTACTTACTTCCTTTTTTATTTTAATATTCGTTTTTTTTTTTTTTTTTTTTTTTTTTTTTTAAGCATTTCACCCCAAGTAAGGCGGGAGTGCCACTAACACACGAAGGGTTACAGAGAGTGCGAGCAAGAGTAAAGAAGCGTGATAGAGGAAAGGATGAAGAGAAGGACAGGGAATTAGATCAGGGAATCTGAAGATGTCGATTGACATTGCATTTGAATAATTGAAGATTATATTTATCAGGAAAGCCAGTAAGAGGAAGGGAGTTCCACAGACAGGGAGTGTGATACATGAAGCTATTGGAGTAGAAGAGACGGTTACATTTAACAGTTTCGACAGTGAACGGGTGGGACCGAGATGCCAACCTAGTAGCACGCTTAAATTCATGCAGTTTGGGAACCAGCGAAAGTAACTCGTCGGAGCAGTTACCATAAAAGTATTTGTAGAAAAGACAGGGGAAAACGACAGCACGTCTGTGAGAAAGTGACTGTAGACGAGATGCCAGATCAGGACCAATAACATCGCATATCCGTCTCTGGATTTTGTCGAAGACCTTGAGACGAACAGCCGGGGTTCCAGACCATCCTTCTTTCTCATTTTCTTTCTTTATTCTTTCATATTTTTTCTACGCCCTTCAAAGACTCTATTTCTCTAATTTCTCCTATCGCTTTATAATATCTCTACTCCTCTTTCTCTTGCTCTTCTCTTTCTGTTTATATATGTCCCCCTCTCTCTTTCTGTCTCTCTGTCTTTCTCTCTGTCTCTCTCTCTCTGTTGCTTATTGTTCTTATTCTTTTCAATATTCCTAGATATTCATTTTCATTCTTACCCCATTTTTTCTCTTTCTCTCTTTTCTTCTCTTGCGTTACTCTTTTTTTCTTTTGTACATGATTCTTCCCTCTCTTTTTCGATTTGTCTCTCTCACTATTGGTTATTGTTCTTATCATTTTCTGTTTCCCTTGTTGTTCATTATCATTCTTTTCTCTCTCTTTCTTTTACCCTTGTGCTTCTCTTTCTTTGTACGAGTCTCCTCTCTCTCTCTCTCTCTCTCTCACTCTTACACTCTCACTCTCTCTAATTGTTGCTTATTTTTCTGATCCATTTCAATTCTTTCCCCTCTTTTCTTTTCTTCTCTTTTTCTCTTGTGTCTCTCTTTCTCTGTACATGAGTCTCCCCTCTGTCTTTCTATTTCTCTCTCTCTCTCTCTCACTCTTTCTCACTGTTGTTTACTGTTCAGATCCTTTTGAATTTTTCTGCTTATCCGTTTCCATTCTTTCCCTCCTCTTTTTACTTCTCTTTTTCTTTTGTCTCCCCCCTCTCTCTCTCTCTCTCTCTCTCTCTCTCTCTCTTGCTTATTGGCCTGATCATTTTGAATTTTCCTGGTTATCAATTTTCATTCTTTCCCTCGTCTTTTCTCTTTTCTTTTCTTGTTCTCTTGCGTTTCTCATTCTTTGTACACCAGCCTTACCCCCTCTCTCTCTCTTTCTACTTCTCTATCTCTCTGTTTATCTATCTATCTATCTATCTATATATATATATATATATATATATATATATATATATATATATATATCCACCTCTTTTGCCTATTGTTCTAATACTTTTCAATTTTGTATGCAATTCATTATCATTGATGTCCCGTTTGTTCTCTCTTTCCATTCACTTCTCGTTTCTATATCCGTCTTTCTTCCTCTCTGTGTATGCAAATGTCGACCTTCTCATAATCTCAATCGAGACCTACACGACTTTCCCCTCTATGTATAATCATAAGATTTCATTGAATTCTGCGGCCATCTGTTGTACAAAAGCCATATTAAGCCAATAAAACATTGAATTATGCAATTCATGTTACCATAAACACGAATTTATAAATCAACAGCCCTGTTTTGGTTAGATCAGATCAAGTCAATAGAACACGTGAATAGAGCGTCAACCTTCGACGCCAGAAAATGAAATGTAATGAAATATTCTCTCTTTGCCCATAAATATACGAGACTTTTCAGAAGCAATACTGCAATATGAGAACTCTTCCAGTCCCCAAATGAAAAGGCCAACTTCTCTATGTCCATAAGTTATACTGAGAATTCTTGAAGCACTGGTGCATCTAATGTCATATTTATATATCTCACTTGAAGGAACAAGATGGCGACGAGGTGAAAAAAGCTAGAAATAAAAGGTTTAAATTCTGTCGTAGAATAGAGGATTAACTTATATGAAAGGGATATGAAATGGGAAGTTGGGAAAAAGACGTTCTTAAGTAAGAAGAAATGATTAAAGGAATGGAAAATTGGAAGGAAAAAGACAGGGATATGAAATGGGATCGTGAGAAAAAGACATTCGTAAGTAAGAGGAAAAGATTAAAGGAAAGAACAGAGGAAAAGCAGGAGAAATAAAGGGATGTGAAATGAGAAGTTGAGAAAAAGACGTTCCAAAGGAAGTAGAAAAGCTTAAAAGATAACTGAAAGGAGAAACAATATTATATGAAATGGGAAGTTGAGAAAAAGACCTTACTTAAGAGGAAGAAATATTGAACGGAAAAAACAAAGGAAAAATTGAAGGAGAAAGAAAGGGATATGAAATAGGATCTTGAGAAAAGGACGTTCCTAAGTAAGAAGAAAAGATTAAAGAAAGAACAGTGGAAAATTGAACGGAGGAAAATGGAAAAATAGAATATGAAATGGGAAGTTGAGAAAAAGACGTTCTAAATTAAAAAAGAAAAAATTAAAGGAAAGAACAGGGGAAGCGTCGTAGGAGAAAGAAAGAATATGGAATTGGAATAGAATAAAAGACATTTCTAAGTAAGAACAAAAGATTCAAGGAAAATAACAAAGAAAAATTGATAGGAGAAATAAAGTAATATGTGATGGGAAGATGAGAAAAAAGAACTTCCTAATTAAGAAGTAAAGATTAAATGAAAGAACCAAGAATAATTGGGAGAAGCATCGAAGTTATATGAAATGGGATGTTGAGAAAAAAGACTTTCATTAGAAAGAAGAAATATTAAAGGAAACAACAGAAGAAAAGTAGAAGGAGAAAGAAATGGATATGAAATTGGAAGTTAAGAAAATAACTTTACTATGTGAGAAGAAAAATTTTAATGTAAGAACAGAGAAAAATTGAGAAGAGAAAAAAAAGGCATTTGAAATGAGAAGTTGCGAAAAAGAAATTCTTAAGTTAGATGAAAATATTAGAGGAAACAACAGAAGAAATTTGAAAGGAAAAAGAAAGGCATTTGAAATGAGAAGTTGCGAAAAAGAAATTCTTAAGTTAGATGAAAATATTAGAGGAAACAACAGAAGAAATTTGGAAGGAAAAAGAAAGGCATTTGAAATGAGAAGTTGCGAAAAAGAAGTTCTTAAGTTAGATAAAAATATTAGAGGAAACAACAGAAGAAATTTGGAAGGAAAAAGAAAGGCATTTGAAATGAGAAGTTGCGAAAAAGAAGTTCTTAAGTTAGATAAAAAATATTAGAGGAAACAAAGAAGAAATTTGGAAGGAAAAAAGAAGGAAAATGAGAAGTTGCGAAAAAAAAATTTAGATGAAAAATTAGAGGAAACAAAGAAGAAATTTGAAGGAAAAAAGAAAGGCATTTGAAATGAGAAGTTGCTTAAGTTAGATAAAAATATTAAAGGAAACAAAAGAGGAAATTTGGAAGGAAAAGGAAAGGCATTTGAAATGAGAAGTTGCGAAAAAGAAGTTCTTAAGTTAGATAAAAATATTAAAGGAAACAACAGAAGAAATTTGGAAGGAAAAAGAAAGGCATTTGAAATGAGAAGTTGCGAAAAAGAAGTTCTTAAGTTAGATAAAAATATTAGAGGAAACAACAGAAGAAATTTGGAAGGAAAAAGAAAGGCATTTGAAATGAGAAGTTGCGAAAAAGAAGTTCTTAAGTTAGATAAAAATATTAAAGGAAACAAAAGAGGAAATTTGGAAGGAAAAGGAAAGGCATTTGAAATGAGAAGTTGCGAAAAAGAAGTTCTTAAGTTAGATGAAAATATTAAAGGAAACAACAGAGGAAATTTGGAAGGAAAAAGAAAGGCATTTGAAATGAGAAGTTGCGAAAAAGAAGGAAAGATAAAAAATTAAAGGAAACAAAAGAGGAAATTTGGAAGGAAAAGGAAAGGCATTTGAAATGAGAAGTTGCGAAAAAGAAGTTCTTAAGTTAGATGAAAATATTAGAGGAAACAAAAGAGGAAATTTGGAAGGAAAAGGAAAGGCATTTGAAATGAGAAGTTGCGAAAAAGAAGTTCTTAAGTTAGATGAAAATATTAAAGGAAACAACAGAAGAAATTTGGAAGGAAAAAGAAAGAGACACCAAGATAAACATTGAGAGAAAATAAATGCATATTTAAAAGGGGAAGAATATGGTAAAAGAAGAAAGGAGAAGAATATGGTGGTATCGTAAATAAACCGAGAAAGAAAGAAAGCAAAAAACTGAAATAAAAGAAATGACTGAAAAAAAAGAGATAAAGAAGAAAATGTGAAATTAAAAAGAAAATGAATGCAAGTGAAGAAGATGAAGATGTAGAAGAGCAAGAGAATGATGAGATGGAATATGGAAGGGCGAATAAGAGGAAAGGAGAAATTGAGAAAAAGACGTGAAATGAAGGAATAGAAAAGGCAAAATAAAAGGAAATTTAGAAGAAAAAGAAGAGAAAATGTAGTAGAATGCGAAACAGCGGAAAAAAGAGAAAAAGATGAGAAATTAAACAAGAAAAAAGGTCAAATGACAGAAAATTTAGAAGTGTAGACAAAGAGGAGATGAAAGGAGAAATGATGAGAAATGAAGAAAGAAAGAAGAGGTGAAAAGTAGAAATTATATAACGAAAAAGCAAAAGAAAAAAAGAAAAAGAATTAAAGATATACAGTCGAAAAAGTATGAAGAATTAAAGAAAAATTGAGGAAAACAAATTAAGAAAAATCAAAGGGGAAAAATCTGGAAACGGCAGATTAAAAAAGAAATGAACAAAAAACAATTTCTGAAAAAAAAAAACGGCAATGAAGAAACGAGAAAACTAAAAAGGAAGAAGGAAAAATAGGAAAAGAAAATGGCGATCAAAAGGAAGAAGAAAATGATAGGAAGGAAAACCTAAAGGAAAGAAGAAAAAGAAGGTAAAAAAAGAATAAAATGGGAAAAGGAGAAACAAAAAAAAACGAAAGATCGTAAAAAGGAACAGAAACCGATTTGGGAAAAAATAAAAAATGGTGAGATATGGGAAAATAAAGAAAAAGTGAAAAGTGAAAAAAAATAAGACATAGAACATGAAACAAAAAGAAAGAAGAAAGAGAACTAATAAGAAAAATTTGAAAAGAAGGAAGAAATGTTTCAAAGACAGAAGTAAATGGTAAAGAAAAAAAATGAAAGCGAGAAAATCCACAATTAACAAAGATTGAAAGAACAAATGCAAAAAGGAAGAATTCTTATGATGAACAAGTCAGAAAGAAGTAAAAGTGAAAAGACCAAAATGAAAAAAAAGTAAAAATAAAAATTAGGAATAATAAAAATGAAAAAAAGAAGAAAAAAGAAAAAATTTAAAAAAAAATACAAAATGGACGAAAAAAGACAAAAATCCAAGAAAAAAAGAAAACTGAAAAAATAAAAAAACAATAGAAATATAAACCGAAATTAAAAGACAATGAGAGAAATGGAAAATGCTAAAACAGAATGTAATAATTGGTTGAAGGCATAAGCAAAAGAAATTACAAGACTGACAGCAAAAACTGAATAGACTTTAGAATTGACATAATCGAACTAAAATGGATACACTTATTTCATTGAGATTTTCTATACGTAAAATCTTGTTTAAAAAGATAAACGAGATGTTTATAGGGATTCTCTTCTCTCTGTTTCGTTCTATGCTGAGAAATAAAATGTCAACAATATTTTTATCTGAGAAGTTTTTTAAAGTTTAACTACGTTTGCTTCAGACACAATGATGAAAAATATTCGATCATCCGTCAAAGAAAATCTATGTGATCTTTTCCACAACAAAGATTCTGACTCTCTGCTAAAATTTGATTTGATCTTTTTTTTTCTTTCTTTCTTTCTTATTTCAAAAGGCATTGCTACATCAGAGTTTCATCTGAAACATCCAAATGACTGTCTGCCTCGACGTGAAGCGACAATGAGGAATTTTTAGTCTCAAGCGTTCCGATTTTGACTTTGCAAAAGTCAGGCAATCCGACTGAGAAAGACAAAAATGAACAAAACGTATAAAATGAATACTCGAATCGAAAGTCATTTCTGAGAAAGATAAGTAAATGATAAATAGTTTTCTTTAAGGAATTGTATTTTTTAAGAAAGTGATCGATTTTTTTTAAATTTATTAATGCGATATATTTTCTTACTTAAAAGTTACTTTTAGTGGATACCCATATCTGAGTAGACGCTCCGTTTATTTATTAAACCGTATATATATATATATATATATATATATATATATATATATATATATATATATATATAATTATTTATTTAAAATATGATTCCAACACGCTACATAAGAGTTCTCATGTTTCAAAACAAGAGCCGAAAACTTCAATTTCAATATAATTATTTGAATTAAATTGAATTAAAGTAAGCTCTGTTCCATCTTCAAGCGAAATTTTTTTGGGAATATTTTATTTCTGAAATTTACGTGTTTTAATAGCATATTCATTATTGAAATCAAAATTTCTATGGTAACGGCTAGAGCGATTGTTTAAATAAACAGGGATTTAAGGTGTTAATAATTTGTATCAGTATAAAGTTACATTCACAGATGTCAAGTCAGGGTATGGTTGGGAGGTCTAAATTTAAAACGGAAGATGATTTCGCCTGGTCTGGTTTACGTGTCTAAGGTGATTTATTTATTTTTTTTTTTTTTTCTGAAAGGGTTTTGTGTATATAAAAAAAAAACTGCCGTAACACTTGTTTTTTGACGACTTCATAAAGGGTTATCTTTTTTGTAGGGCATTTAAACTATTTATTAGGACTATGGATTTTAAAAATTATTTTATTGTTTGTTTGTTTTTATGCTAATTATTCAATGCAAAAATTTGATGGTGTCAGCAAAAAACCGTTAACTCATGTCTATTGTTTAATAGAATTT